CTATAACATGCCTGATATTAAAACCTTGTCCTATGAATAGAAATTAATCTTCTAGAAATCCTACTTAACCTGCACATTTTTCCAACCCAAACAATTTAATATTCTCCCTGCAGGATAGAATAAGGAAAGAACAACAACAGAAAGTGTCTAATTGCACCTTATCTCAGTTACATAATTGAGTCTAAAGAGAGGAGCTCACCAGAACTACCTCTGAAAGGGTTATAGATATTTTTGTAACTTCATACCTACCTATATATTTTACTGGTATTTATTTCTCTGAAAGATAAGGTAATCTCAAATACAAGGCCATCCCTGGTCTTGATCAAGATAGCTATAATAGAAACAGTGTTACAGCAAAGGCAAATGTAAGCAAAGGAACAGTTCTAGAAAAATAAATAAGTACACAGTAAAAAAAAAAAAAACCAAAAAAACAAACAAATGAAACACCCCCCAAAAAAAAACCTACCAAGAAAAAGAGGTTAAAAAAGAAAAGCAGTAAAAAATACAACAAAAGATACATATTAACAAGCTGAATTCCTCCATGAATTCATATTATCTTGCTATTTGTCCTTGAAAAATATTGCCAAAGTTTTAAGACTCTAAAAGGAAATCCTTCTTTCTTCTTCAGTATAATTAACGGAGCCTTGTGAAATGTAAATTGCTTCAGCACATGCAAAAATATACAATACTTGTCAAATATCAGAATTGTTTTACTATTATTTTTATTTCCTATTTAGTGCTATATTTTTTTATATATGTGCTATTCTGAGTATGGTCTCATGGACCACCTAACATCTATTCTCAGTTCTATGATAACTGAATATCAAAGATGGAATCACCCATCCAGACCACAGCACTGCCCTGAGTGTTGTACCTAAGTGACAAAGCATCTATCTCAAAGAATAAAGATTCTTTAACAAAGATCATCATTTTGGGTCAGGTGCCCTGCCTCTGTGTCCCTCCTCACTGGCAGAGCATGAGAAACTGAAAAGTCCTTGACTGAGGTAAGCACAACATAGCAACAGCTAAATCATTGATGTGTTATCAGCATTCTTCTCAGACTAAAGTTGAAAACACAGCACTGCGCCAGCTTGTAAGAAGGAGAAAAATGTCACAGCTGAACCCAGGACACTGACAGATAAAGCTAGTCATAAGGTGGCCTGTTAGGCTTACTGTAAAATCCTAGGAAGTTTATCTTGAATCCCTGAAATGTAATAAATTACTGCTGGAAATACATAGTGCATATCTGTAAATGTCTGCTTTACTGAGATACTGAATACCACAGAAAACAAGTTTCTTATCATAGCATTTCAAAGTTTAGAATAACACAATTATTTTTACTATAGAATATTGGAATATAGTAATAGAATATGGCTTCTGGTGTAACAAACACTAGTCATATACAAGTGAGACTATGCCAGACTTCTACTTTATACATCTACACTGAATCAGTAAATTAAAAAAAATAAATGTTTCTGAAAGCAGCTTTCAGAACACGTTAATGAATCCTTTGCCTCAGAGAACTCCCTTCAAAGATCCAGTTTTGATGTGAGTTTTCAGAAAAATTTCAGTACATCTAAGCTACTAAAGAAAGATCAGGAAGCAACCTTGAACACTGTCTTCCTGGAGCATCCACACTGTTCCTTTTCTCTATTTCTGCTTTGTGCAAATTTGACAGGCAATTTCAAATGCAGTCAGTATACATGATTATTCCCAAAAAGCAATGGTTAGATGAGCCGAGGTTTGTCTTTAATCTTATACATTCCTCCAATGTCAACTCTGTAGGCTTTGTACGCTTGGTCAAGTGCACATGTATTTGTACCACATTCCGGTATCTATAAAACAAATTATTTCAACAGCTTGAAACTGGAAAACCACACCAGAACAAAACCAGCACATTAGGGTTACCAGTAATGCTATGCATAAGAAATGAGGGACAGAGCTCATTGTGTGGATATGGCCAGACCAGTCTAGCCATTTATAGTCATAAGCACAATACAAGTGAATTTTTGACACTTGACCTTGCATGCAAGTTTCTGGAAGAGTTTTCCTGTTCACCCAGGTGATCAAATGAGCAACAAAATATATTAAAACACAGAATACTTGTTAATGTAGAATGAAAGTACTAGAAAAGAAAGTTCTGTAGCCACGGCTCCAAAATCATAAAGAGAAATGATATTTCAGGCAATAAAGTGAGGACATCTAACTAGCACCTGAGACAAATTCATATTTCTTTTCTTTTGTCAAATATTAAACCATTACTATCTCTGGTCTTAAAGGCCAGATAGGGTTTGGAAAGTTGAGCACAACAATGTACTAGTCAAAATCTAGCCAGAGAAAACTGATGCAATTTGGAAGACATATTGTCCTGGAGAAATATTAAGAGCCTTTTTATTGTACAGATGGTTTCCTGATGAGAACTGTGATATACCTTGCTTTCAATTTAGAGGTTTTGGATTCTGACACTTCCTTTGGATTCAGATACTCTGCATGCTGGAAGCTTTCTCAGCAGACATCTATCATACAGATCATTTTTCTGGTCACTCAGAGAGAGTTAAGAAGAGACGAACAGTGGACTGTAGTTCAGTAATTGAATGTTTTTCTAAATGCAGGCTAAGTAATGTGGCTACCTATGTAAATATACAATAAGCTTTGAATATGACGCAAGCTAAACAAATACTTAAAAACTGTGGAACTGTAGAATGACATAGGTGAGATGTGAACTCTACAGGTCACTCACTGGAAGCAATGTCAGACTTCAAGTTACCTTAGAGAAAAGGAAATAGTAAGCAAGGTTACATTATAATAGGGGAAAGGCAACATCTCTCTCATGTTTGCCTGCTTCCCCTGCTTCATTCATCCATCCAGTGTTGAACAAGTCAGGTGTTACCAGACCATTGACCTATGTACAGCTTTATGTTCTTCCATGCCTTCTTGAATGATTCTGCCATCTGGTCATTCACATTGATCAATTCTGGTTCTATGACTGGTCTTACCTCATTGGTAAGGAATACCCAGGACCCAAAGCAAACTGGAAATTTTCCTCTTACTGACCTGTGCTGGGTTCAGCAGTAGCAGTCATTTTTCTCCTTCTTAGTAGCTGATGCAATGCTGTGGTTTTGACTTTCTGTCTGGGAACAGAGCTGATAACACTGATGCTTTTAGTTGTTGCTAACTAATGTTTACCCTGACAGAGAGACAGAAGAGACAGGACACTTGACCCAAACTAGCCAAAGGGGTATTCCATACCACAGCACGTCATGCCCAGGATGTAGAACGGGGGGCAGTTACCTGGAAGGGCTAGATTACCGCTCGGGTCAGGCTGGGTATCGGTCGGCAGGTGGTGAGTGGTTGTATTCTCTTCCCTTATCATTGTCATTTTTGGTGGTAGCAGTAGTGGTTTGTGTTATGCCTTAGCTACTGGACTGCTCTTATCTTAACCCATGGGAGTTACATTCTTTCGATTCTCCTCCCCATCCCTCCGGGGGTGGGGGGGTGTGAGACAGAGACTACGTGGTTCTGATTTATGGTTGGGTTTAAATCACAGCAGTTCTTTGTGGCGCCCAACGTGGGGCAAGAAGGGTTGAGATAATGACAGATCTTACCAGAGTGTGTCTAATCGTATTTGTGATAAGCATTCATTGTTTCAGATTAATAGTCACTTGTCAGAATGCTGATTTAGTGTCTCTCGAAGTTATTGTTCTTGATCTCACACTTTCAGCATGTTGTACCTTACTTACAGCCGGTATTTGCTGTGTTAGTGTTTATCGGCTGGGGGCCTTGGGCTGAAGTTCTTGTTTCATTGTACTTTATGTAAATAACTGGTAATACAATAGAATCAGCAATCATGAAACTAATTTGGCTTTCGTTCTCAGTATGGTCACCACCTCTGTACCTTGGGAAGTATATAATAGAAGCGTATAACAATTATACATCTTTTTTCTCCTCCTCAGGTGATCAGCCTATGAGGGAGACATTCCCACACACCCTAGTGACAAGTACAACAGCTACTCGAACTCTGACTACAACAGATAATGCAGCTACTCCAACTCTAAGTACAGCAGCTATACCAACCCCAGCAACAAGTACAGCAGCTACTCAAACTCTGACCACAGCAGACAGCACAGCTACTCCAACTCCAAGCACAGCAGCTACACCAACCTCAGAGACAAATACAGCAGCATTGTTTGACAGTTCTGAAGGTTTTGAATGGCCTTTGGGTACCCTTGAGACCTGCTTGCTGATTGTGATGGGGATCATCACCATGTTGGCACACATACAGAATGTGTTTTATCCACAACCACTTTGTCTGATCTTGAAAGTTAAGTGGAGTCAGATTTGGGTCTCATCTAGGATTAGACAACAATATAGGAGGACCACCAAGAGATTTTCCCCAAGGCTGGACAGTCATGAGTGACAGGGTGTGTGGGACAGTATGGGCAAATATCTAGGCCACGGAGTCAGCAATGACAAGTTGCAGAAACTGCTGAAGGAGAGGGTGAATTATTTTGAGCCCGGTGGGCCCATGACACTTCAGGCCACCAGGACAGAGATGCAACATATAGATGCACTCATGATTGAACGGTGGACTTAGCAATGAACACTATTGCCGAGGTTATTCACTAGTGTGAATACTGCACACAGCTTCTCCTGCTCTGAAAGACTGTTGCAAGAGATGAAGCCCAACATCATGGACCAGATGGACTCAGCAGTTTTATGGGGATTGGTCCATGCACTAAGGGATGATCTCTCACTCTCTCTCTCTCTCTGTGTAGATGTATACATATGTATATACATGAGATAAGAGTGATGGTATATTGAAAATATGGGATCTAAGCATGACGTGAATAGTATGGAATAAGGGGTGGATACTGTCCTGAGTTCAGCAGTAGCAGTCATTTTTCTCCGTAGTAGCTGATGCAGTGCTGTGGTTTTGACTTTCAGCCTGGGAACAGCACTGATAACACCGACGTTTTTAGTTGTTGCTAACTAATATTTACTCTGACCAAGGACTTTCTGAGTCTCATGCTCTGCCAGGGAGGAGGGGAAGCTGGGAGGAAGCAGAGACAGGACACCTGACCCAAGCTAGCCAAAGAGGTATTCCATACCACAGCACGTCATGCCCAGAATGTAGAACTGGGGGCAGTTACCCGGAAGGGTTAGATCACTGCTGGGTCGGTCTGGGTATCCGTCAGCAAGTAGTGAACAGTTGTATCCCCTTCCCTTGAAAGGTGAACCCGACCCTGGGGTGGGCTTGAACCACCAACCTGTAGGTTAACAGCCGAACATGCTAACCAATTGTGTCACAGGTTATTTCCCTTATCACCATTAATATTGGTGGTAGCAGTAGTGGTCTGTGTTATACCTTAGTTTCTGGCCAGTTCTTATCTCAACCCATGGGAGTTACATTCTTTCGATTCTCCTCCCCATCCCTCCAGAAGCCAGGGCAGGGGGGAAGGGGAAGAGTGAGACAGAGACTGCATGGATCTGATTTACAGCTGGGCTTAAAGTACATGATCTAAATATTTTGTCATTCTACCGTATTAGGTGTCTTTTCAACAATAATCTTGTAGTGTTTCCAGATTTATCTCCTCTTCTACTGTGTCAGCGATAGGCCAGGCACCTCAGGTTTTGTGTTGCAGCTGTTGTGAGGAAAACAGCTTCAACTCAGGGAATTTTACTTAATTTATTGCTAGTTAATTCAAAATTTTAATTATTGATTTAGATATTCAAGAAAAGAAAAAACAACACAGATTTACAAGTAAACAGCTTTCCTCCTTGTGTTTGAGTCCTTGCCATTCCACATCTCAATGTCCCTTGTTATCATCTCACATTGCACTTGTGCCCCCTCTCCAATTCTTCTGACCGTGCAGGACGGTGGCTGTATCAGTAAGTAACATTTTCTTTCTGCTGATTGGTTCTTGCTTCTTCATCATTTCTATGGCTGGATAATTCTGTAGTCTCTTAGCAGTTTCTGTGTCCTGACATTTTTCACTTGCAGTCTACAGTCCCTCAGAGGTACCTTCTCTGGCATGGAATTCCTCTTTCCTTTTCCTGATTTCTCCCCAGTGACAGCTCCTCTATGTGTTCCATCCATTTCTCTGGAGGTGTTTTCTACATACCTCCAGTAACTGCTGTCTTTTCCTAAAAAGGTATGAATTAGGGCACTGGGGACTCCCCTGCCTTTCTGTAGTTTTGGTGCAAGATGAGGAGTTTACTGCAATGTCAGAGCCTACCAAAGCCAGATGTGCCTGGCCCAGAGCAGCTCAGAATCTCTTCTACAAAGAGTATCCTGCAGCCATCACCTACCCAGCCAGCCTACCAGTTACACTCAGTACAGTGCTTCTGTAGGTACTTTATTACATCACCCATATAAATGTGGTCCTGTCCCTGAGCCTGGACCTTGAGTCAGATAACTCACACACCCAGGTATAAAATGTGTATGTGGTACATTTGAATTATCTTTTTTCCATTCTGGAAAAGATTTTTCCATTCTTCTGTGCCTTTCAAATTCCAGCTACCATTTTCCACCTCATTTTTTTCTCCAAAACTGCCCACTTAAAAATGTAAGTGCAACTTTTAGCTGTTATATTCTGACTTCTGTTGAAGTATATGAGGCTGTTTTCCTAGAGCTTCCTTCACTAATATTTTTCTTCCCTTGGTTCCTTTGGAATTTTATGATGTGTTTACTCACAATTAGGGACTATAATAATAACTTTACAAGATGATGTGCTAGTGATGACAATATTCCTTTTGGAAAATGCTGCATTTACTTCTAATTACGTTAGGGGCTATTTCAATTCTGGGCTTGGGTATTTATATAATGAAAAAATATGGTGCTTTAATTTGTTTTTATAGCATTAATAGGATTAAATTTAGCTACACACATATAAACAAATTATTCCATAAATACATTGTGTTTAAAACATTGCAAAATTATTTTTGTAATTAGATACTTCAGGTATGATTAACATTTCAACGTATTTTAAATTAGCTGGTTATTATTTGTGAAAAATTAAACACCACTGTGGCATTAAGGGTGATGATAAACCTTCAGCTAAATGTATATAAGCAGCTGCACACTGACTACTGTCTGATGCTGAACGTATTGGTTTGTGATCAGCAGAATAATGTCCTATTGGAGGCCAGTCACCAGCAGTGTGCACCAGGGATCAATACTGGGGCCAATACTGTTTAATGTCTTCATTAATGAGCCAGAAAATGTCAGGGCATGCACCCTCAGCAAGTTTGTAGATGACATAAAACCACAAGGAGTGGCTGATACACCTGATGGGTGTGCTGCCATTCAGAGGAACAGGGTGGGTACTTGGGCAGACAAGAATCTAATGAAGTTCAGCAAAATGAAATGCACATTTCCCCCGGGAAATTCCTGTGGAGAAATAACCTCATGTACCATTTATTGCTTGTTGCTGACCATTTAGAAAGCAGCTTTGTAGAAAAGGATCTGGGGGCACTAGGAAAAGTGTCTCCAGGTCACTGATCATGACCTTTCCCCCCACTGTGGGGGAGGCCACCACAAAAGTGTTGTATCCAGCTCTGGGCACACCAATACAAGAGAGACACGGCCTTACTGAAGAGAGACTAGCAAAGGGCCACTAAGATGTTTAAGTCACTGGAGCATCTCTCACATAAGGAGATACGGCATAGCTTGGACTGTTCAGCTGGGAGAAAAGAAAGTTTTGGAGGACCTTTGCATGCATATAAATACCTGATTCGGGATGAAGGGAGGGGAGCAATAAAGAACCTGGAGCCAGAATGTTCCCTGTGTCATCCAGCAAAAAGACAAGAGGCAATGGACAGAAATTAAACCCAAGGAAATTCTACTTAATCATAAAAATATATATTAAAAGAACAAACAAACTTTTTTACTGTGAGGGTTGTTAAATTTTGGAATAGGCTGTTCAGTGAGACTGTGGAGTCTCCATTTTGGGAGGTATTCAAAACCATCTGACTGAGCACTGTCTTTGGCAAACTGTTCCAGCTAACCCTTCTTGGAGCAGGACTGGAAGAGACAGCCTCCAGAAGTCCCTTCCAACCTCATCCATTCTGTGAGTCTTTGGCTTACAATACCAGATATCAAGTCCATTGAGGAATACTAAGGACTTTTGACTTACAAACTTCCTTTTCACTTTGTAGGATTTCTTTAAATATTCTGTGAGAAGATAAACAGAAATCTCAGGAACATCAAACACGTTTTAAAGTGACAACATATTTAGAGAAAAGAGGGTATTATTTTTATTATTACTATTATTTTCATCATCATCATCATCATCATCTTCATCATTCAATTTGGATCATGGTTAGGAAAAAGTCCCAAACAACTCTTTCTGAAGATTATGTCCAGTGGGGGATCTGACTAAATGTAAGCCCTTAAAATGAAAGAGAGGAAGAGAAAGAGAAAGAGAAAGAGAAAGAGAAAGAGAAAGAGAAAGAGAAAGAGAAAGAGAAAGAGAAAGAGAAAGAGAGAAAGAGAAAGAGAGAAAGAGAAGAGGAGAGGAGAGGAGAGGAGAGGAGAGGAGAGGAGAGGAGAGGAGAGGAGAGGAGAGGAGAGGAGAGGAGAGGAGAGGAGAGGAGAGGAGAAAAAGAAAAAGAAAAAAAAAGAAAAAGAAAAAGAAAAAGAAAAAAGAAAAAGAAAAAGAAAAAGAAAAAGAAAAGAAAAAGAAAAAAGAAAAAGAAAAAGAAAAAAGAAAAAGAAAAAGAAAAAGAAAAGAAAAGAAAAGAAAAGAAAAGAAAAGAAAAGAAAAGAAAAGAAAAGAAAAGAAAAGAAAAGAAAGAAAAAGAAAGAAAGAAAGAGAAAGAAAGAAAGAGAAAGAAAGAAAGAAAGAAAGAAAGAAAGAAAGAAAGAAAGAAAGAAAGAAAGAAAGAAAGAAAGAAAGAAAGAAAGAAAGAAAGAAAGAAAGAAAGAAAGAAAGGAAGAAAGAAAGAAAGAAAGAAATACTACTAAAAGTCTACCAATGCAATTACAATGGCTGAGGTGTTCAATCTTAAGGCCTCTTGAAAATACAAACACTTTAAAATGAACCTTTCTTCATGTTATTTTTTTCCTCCTTTATACCTTACCCATCTATCCTTCTTTTCCTTTTTCTAAATTATCCTTTAAATATGGTTAAGTGTAAGATAGGGGGCAACTAGTATAAATTGAATCTGCCTCGTAATAGATACTTTAAAATTTATAAAATCTACATACTGGAAGGAAAACAGCATAGGTTACCTATTTCCATTGCCACAATGACAGAAAGAGCATTTACAGGAAAAGCAGCTGGAAAGTAATAGTGCTGAAATTCCCCTTTTCAGGGAGCTAAATTCAGAGTCTTAGTTTCTTTCCCCGGTGTCTCTAAGCTGCTGACGTACATGTAAGTAACTTATGAGCATGTGTTCACGAATATTTGGAATTACCTGCATAAACATGTTTAACATGCAGGAGGGACACTTGTTTGGTTACACACTACATGACCTGTGTAAAGTAGGATGCTAGCTGCAGGCACTTCAGGCCCATAAACCATATATATATATATATATATGTATATGCTGTGGGTATAGGACACAAGAGTATCAGTATCAAATACTAACATTGGAGGTAAATGCAAAGTGTAGGTTGAAAATCTTATTTGTTAGCATTCACTCAGGTGTATTTGTACTTTGGATTCATTTGAATAATAAAATACATCTTCAGAGAATGGAATCAGATAAGGAGTATTTCTGTAGCACTAAAACCGTCAGATCTGAGGATTGTATTGTGATAAAAAATCAAGATAATGATCAAATACCAACAAAATTGTATACATCCTGAAACAGTCTTAGGAACTCAGGAATTATGTCACTATATGAACCCTTTGGGACATAACAGGAAATTAAGAGGGCTGTTAGGTCAGACAAACGAGTATTGCCAGTAGCAGAATCACAGCAGAGTTGCAGAGATGAATACTCATCCCTGAGACTTTACTGAAGGAGCAAATATACCAAAGAAGATGAAAGAACAGTGCTGAAAAGAACTTGTAATTGCCTTGAAAGGAGCTTACACAAAAATGATATCACTAAGATGATGCAGGAGATG